TTTTTTTTTTTTAATTTTGCACTTTATTTTCTGTTTTTCACTCTTTGCTCATTTTACATTTCTATACACAGGAGGTGGGGGCATCAGCTGTGTACTGCAAGATGGGCATGTGTTTGAAAAGGCTGGGGTGAGCATTTCTGTCGTTCATGGACATCTTTCTGAGGAAGCAGCAAAGCAAATGAGAAATAGAGGAAAAAATCTGAAGACTAAAGATGGTAAGCCAGTCTCAATTGCCTTTAGTAGTTGCTGCAAGGTTTTATTTGTAAAATAAATATTGCTTCTGTAAAAAGCCATTTGGGTGCATATGTCCCATAAGCATGTTCACAATTACTTTTTTTAAAATTATATTTTAAGAAACAAATTAAAAAGCAGCTTTTGAAAACTGATCCAGAAACCATGTTGGAGGTACTTTGTATCAAGCCAAGTGATTGAGAGCAGCTCACTGTGTGTTTTACTTTCCAGGTAAATTGTCATTTTCTGCTATGGGTGTGAGCTCCGTTATCCACCCCAAGAATCCTCATGCCCCTACCATCCATTTCAACTACAGATACTTTGAAGTAGAAGAAGCCGATGGTATGTATGTCTGGAGCTGTGGAAAGTACTACTGTGCCAAATGTGTATTTTAAAGCAGGTTAGGGGACATAACATCTAACAGCGAGAGAGAATAAATACAATTTTTAACTAGATTTCTCAGGAGGCATAGGATGGCTTATTCCTTAGCAAATGCAATGGATTATGCACTGGACATGAAAACGGGATTGGCTCAATTCTGATTGCTTCATATTTCCTCCTACACAGAAGGAACAATTGAATGAACCTGAACTTAAAGTGCTCACAGGGTTCTTTGAAAATATAAACCCACACAAAGGAAAACCTCGTGTGCAAGATTAAGTTGAAATTGAGAACTTGCTTTTGGAAAATATCTTCCACATGCATAACTTTGCTAGTCACCAGTGCACTGTAGGATGGGATGCACTTGATCCTGCCTCATTTTGCATGTGTAATTCCAGCCTAGGAATCCTGTTAGCTGAGCCAGCTCTTATACCTGTCAGAGCGCCTGCGCAGTGCCACGCTACTCCTCTTGATGTCTCTGTAGGTGATGGCATTTAAAGTCAATGTATTTAACTTTTCATTTTGAAGTTGCTTATGTTTAAAAAATTGGCAACTGGTACTGACAACCTATAGACTTAACTAAGCACATGATATAGTTATTCTCAAACTATTTGAGTTGTCTCCCTCAGCAGGTATTTTTACCCTTTCTGGGGGAAAGGGAAGATGGTATTTAATATAAGCAGCATAAGAATCTCCTGTTTTTTTGTGTGTATTTTGTTTTGTTTTTAAAT